CTGCAACTGGGAGGTTTAAATAGCTTTGCTTTCACCCACTCTGACGCCATCAGCCCCTTCATTGCTGCACTTTTGTGGGGCACGTGGACCGCACGCCACTGAGAGCATATTTCTCGGCTGTATCTCGGACTTAACCCCTTGCGAGCTGACCGCAACCCTGCTAAACAATTTCGCCCAACCAAATACACAGTCGATTCTCTCTGCAGTATATTCCGTGAAGCGCTCTGGGAGGTTCTCGGAGACGTGATGAGGCGCTATGTCAAATGCAAGGATGATTACTGTTATAAAATAAAAAGCACTTGACAGAAGCCACTTATCACCACAGTGTCAGTCACGCCAACACGTCTCAAAGCCCTTCACAAGGAATCGCTCTCAAGTGCTGTGACTGTGTATCACCAGGCAAACACGGAAGTCAATTTGTACACAGCAATGTCTCGCAACCGGCCAAGGCCAGTTTATCTAGGGGATTTTCCTGGCCAAGACATGATGAGAAACTCCATTCTCTTTTTGAATAGTGCCACATGATCTCTTAAATCAACCTGCACAGTTACATCCAGTACAGGACATTTCACAACACGTTCAATGTGATAATTGGACTCGCAATAATAATTAAAGCAATCGATTCAATCATTCATTGATTTAAAAGTAATAATTTGGAATTGCAAATTAGTTTTCGGGGGAATAATTATTTTCCAACGTTATTTCGGTGCGCGGATAGTGAACCTGTGGAACAGGCTCCCGAGGGAGACGGTTGAAGCAGGAAATTTTGATTCTTTCAAACACAGTTTTCTTTTAGGAAATAACATTATGGGCTATAGTACATAGGGGGTTTGGGACATATGTGCATGCGACCGCCAGGAAGGTGGAAGGCGAACTAGATGGACCTTGGTCNTTTTTCATCGAGCATTTCTTATGTTCTTATGTTCACTGCAAATTTCACCCCTATTTACTGCCCCAAGTCACGAGTGTGTGGACAGCTAAATCACCCCAACCAATCCCACCCTCAGCAACTACAACCACAAATTGCATTTATATAGTGCCTTTCACGTCGGAAGGACGTCTTGTCTGGCAAGATCTCCTGCTGCTTGTCCAGCTAGGACTGTTATTTCCTGCCGATGAGCCAGGATACCCCCAAGGCAAATCTGAAAGAAAAAGGTTTCAGCAGGTTTCTTCCGAACAAAACACCAGTAATTTGTGCCCATCGAAAATCTTCTCCCCCCCCACCCACCTCCGCTCAATAAACAGTATTTCTTATATTATAGTACAGTATTATAGAAGTGTTGAGGGACAAAGGTTGAAGTTGTTACTTAATGAAGGTAAAAAAAAAGCGTTTGGCCAATGTTGGCGATGGGCAAGAACAGGCCTGTGTCGACGGCGCAGGGGATATTACACAGTGTGAACAGGTTTCTATCAGTGTTCAGTAACTGGAATTCAGTGAGTCACTGAACGGGGTTAAGCAATAATTTAGGAGTTTCATATTCATGAAAGTCGTGCGTCTTCTTGTTTCGTTTACAGATTTATTTGTCGCTGTTGCCCATTAAAAGACCCTTTGTTAAGGGCAATTGACTCTGTGCTCTCCCCTACACCCCCCCCCACCACCACCACCAACCCTTTCTCTTTCCAACCTCAGGTGCTGTGTTTTGTTAATAAAAGTCAATGCACTTTCATGTCTCCAAGATCGTGCACCACACTGTCACCTTCTGGCCCCACTGTGATACTGCCGCTGCTCCAGTTTCTCTCAGGGAACTTCCAGTTGGTATATTTTTATTTGGAAATGTCTCAAAAGGCGCTTTAAAGCGATTTCCGTCGACGGGCCTCTGATGTTGCACTCCCTCCCCTCACCTCTGCGCTCAAGTATCAGCCTAGACTTTGAGGTCAAGTCCTGTAGCGTTCTGGTTAGAGAACTTGCCTCGCAAGCGAGAGGACTCGGATTTGATTCTCAAGCGGGGCGAAACGATAGGCAAGTTTCCTTCTCCACACGTCTCTGGTTAACCTAGCAATTGGCTGCCACCTTTCGTCCACAAAGTATACGGTCAATTCACTCTGCAGTACAGCATGCCGTGAAGGGCTTTGAGACATCTGAAAGACGTGATAAGACGCTATATCAGATGCAAGGGTTATTATTATTATTCTTAAGTCCCAACATGGGGCTTGAACCCACAATCTTCTGACTCAGAGGTACGAGTCCAGCAACTCACAGCACTGCTGCTTGTGATTTCTGTGGGTGTCCCTGCTTCAACCCATGATTACCCATCTCCGGTCTCGGATCAGGAATATCTTGTGGCCGAAACCTCTGCCAATGTACGCGGAGCCAGGCTTTAGAGTTGCACAGAAGTGTCAGCCAGACTCATTCAGTGCGGAACTCAAGGAATGCCTCACTGTCAGAGGTGACGTGTAATGAGAGGTTAAACTGATGTCCCGTTAGTCTGTTCAGGTGCCCATTAAAAATACAGTGGAAGAGAGAATAGAATCTCTCTCGGTATCCTGGCCAACAATGCCCCAGATTAATTAATCCCTCGTGGGACGTTGTGTATCAAAAAGAAACAGTCACTGCTCTTCACGTGTTTTGTGTTATTGCGAGGCGGGCATCATTTTAATTCGCTGTAAAAGTGCGTGCTAATTCTTTCTTCGTTACTCTCCATTAACTCTCCCTGGAATCGCAGTGTAAATTCCTGGAAAACATCTTATTTATTCCCTCGGGGTTTTAAAGCAGTTTTCACAGTTTTTCCAGTGCAAGAGGCTTCTTGATAACATTTAATGTTAATCCTTGCATTTGATACAGCGCCTTATCACGGCGTTAAGACGTCTCAAAGCGCTTCACAGGATATACTGTAAAGTGAATCTTGACTGGGTATGTTGTGGGCGAACCAGAAAGTCAGTGTTATTCCCCGCTGACAGGACACTGTACAATGGGCCGGTTGCTCAGTAGAAGACGTAACCCAAGATGTTCCAGTGGAGCTCAGCAAACTCCAGGCTCGGGCTTTAATTAGCCTGCAAACTCCAAATAAACAACTTTCCCAGAAATGACTCGGGTTGGCCCGACTGGAAGGAATGTGTCAGCAAAGCTCCCAACCCAGTGAGCTGCACGCACTGTTTACAACAATCCCTGGCCCACTGGCAATTATCCCAATCAGTGTGTCCTCTGCGCTGTCGTTAACATGTCAGTCTGAGACACCCCACTGTCCCGTCCAGGTCAGCAACTATACACGTTAGATACAGAGCAAAGCTCCATCTACACTGACGGTCCACACTTTCGGGTCAATGACAGCAGAGGTTACACATACAGTAAAGCTCCCTCTACACTGTCCGTCCACATTCCCAGATCAGTGACAGCACGGGTCAGAGACAATAACGTTCCTTCTTTAGGATCCCTAATTGGGGGGGTGGGGTGGGGGGACTGATGTTCTGGAGAAGAGGGAACTTTACTCTGTATCTAAACTGTGCTGCACCATCCAGATGTGGGGAAATAAATTCCCTATCTCACGTGTGAAGTTGACCCCGAGAAGCAAAACAAAAAAAATCACATGAACATTTTTGAAAATAAAAGATAATTCCCTCAACTCCGCGGATCATTTGGGGTTTGTGTGGGCAATCGCAGGAACTAAGGGAATGGAAGTTTATATTTATAAATTGTTTTCGATGCGGTCCTGTCATGTGGCTATTAACTTTCTAAGTGCAGGAACATGGATAATTATAGGTCAACGGGAGCGGCTCAGACAAGCATGTGGAGGGCTCACTGCGGTTCTGAAAGGCTATCTGTGTATTTACTGCAATGCAGAGGGGTCATTGTATAATGTTGGCAAGTTGACCGGCTCAAAAGTTGGCTTGGCTCCGGAGACTTGCTGCTTATAAACAGGGCGAGCCACTTCTTGTCTGCTCCGAGCGCAGACGCCCGCACGTGTTGCTTGGTTCTGTGTTTTATGGCTCCAAAACAAAAAGAACTTAATGTCCCAACGTTCTGAAGCTGACAAGCTGCCTTCCCTTCCCTTCCCCCTTAATACGAGGAATCTGCTCAGAGGGAGACACGAGCCGCAAGGCTGCATCTTTGCTCATAGCGCCCTCCAGTGAGAGAACACCCGACTTCAGGAGAGACGCTTGATTGCAAAGGGTTGGGAGGCAAGCTCGCCGTTTTCTTTCGATCAGCCAGGTGTCTGACCCACGGGGAAACCCATCACCGTTGCTTGAGAGTCTCCGAACCCGACTGAGAATTCCATGTATCCCACTTCCACGTGGAAATCCTAGAGATAGATCGTTGGAATGGAATGCGCTCTCTCTCTCTCTCTCTCCCTGGATGGACGCACCCTGCTTACCTAATTCCAGAAAGTATTAGGAGCAGGTTGGCAAGAGCCAAGGCAGCCCAGCGTGTGCGCAGGCTTAACTGCTGGTGTCACAAATAATTAAATGAGCTCAGTAAAAATACTAGCGAGTTTTTATTTCAGTGCAAAACATAAGAATTCAGATCTCAAATGTCCTGAGCACCCGAGAAACAATTTGATTAGATAAATGGATATATCACGGGGTTGCAGAGATTTTCTGGTGACCAGGGAATATACCGAGAGAAGCCATTTCACATGCCTAGAGTTTAGGAGGAACTTCCTCACGCAGAGGATGTGGAAGTCACTACAGCAGGCTACCGTCAAAGCAGGAAGCACCATCATATTTAAAAAAAGTTTTTTATTTTTTAGGGGGTCAGTCAGGATGTCTGACACACGTGGAAACCCATCACCATCTTAAGAGTATCCAGACCAAACCGAGAGTTCCATTCATCCCGCCTACACGTAGAAATTCCACAGATAGATTGTAGGAATGGAATTCTCTCTCTCTCTCTCTCTCTCTCTCCCCCTGGAGGGATGCCCCCTGCTTACCTAGTTCCGCAAAGTATTAGCCGCAGGTTGGTGAGAGCCAAGGCTTGTTGGGGGAGCCCAGAGTGTGCTTTGGGGTAATTGCTGGAGTCTAACCAGCCAAAACCGCACAGCTTGCCATTTAAGAAGAAACTTGATGCGCACGAGAAGGAGAAGGGAATACAAGGGTATAGGAGAGGGGAATAGGAACGGTGGAGGAGTGGCGTGTAGTGGGCTGAAGGGTTGATTTCTGTGCCTTATCAGCCTATGTATTTGTATGATTCTCGGCTGCTGGTGGGTCAGTAAACTTGCTGCTGTTGCAGGAAAGCCGTTTGCGAAACAAGATAAAAAAGGTAGCAATAAAAAATACAACACACATCACGGTCAGTGTGGGTGTGATCCAGGTGGCCAAGGTTTTGTTTTTAACCATCACTGTGGAGAGAACATATAGGGAAAAATCAGTGACCTGCAGAAGGAAGGGGAGGAAGGCAGATATTCGACCACATTGGAACCAGGATAAGGTCTAACATGGGAAATGGAGGGAAAGCTCCTGTAGTCAGTTGCCGGCGAGTAAATACAAGGCAAGTTTCCGTGCTCCACATGCCTCTGCTTACCTAACACCAAATAGGAACCCGGTTGGCGGATTACTTTTCGGGGGTAATAATCCCTTCAAAATAAATAGATAATAATAATTTGGTCACTCAGTCCACGGCTGTTTGTGGGGCACTGATGTGGCTGCCGTGTTTCGCCCACAAAATATACAGTCACTGCACTCGACAGTGTATTTTGTGAAGCGCTTTCAGACGTCTCGAAGAACCGGTAAGGTGCCATATCCAAGGCAAGAAACATCATTATATTATTAATAATATTAATATTAATATTAGAGAGCCACCTACCCGACAGAGCGATGGAGACATTCAGCCGCACCTGATGGATCCCACTTTGCAAAAGACACTCGTAAACACCCTGGTCCTCAGGCCTGAAGGACTGGATGGTGAGTATGGAGCTGCTGTTGGCCCTGGAGACAGTCCAGCCTTGCGCAGTGCTGGGGTCCAGCTTCCGCCAGGTAACATTGGCCTCAGGGCTGGCCTCCCCGCTGCAGACGATTGTCACAGGCTCGTTCTCCTGGACGTGCTCGGGACCCTTGATCCGTGTGTACCGGGGGCCGTCTGCAAAACAGGGAATCAGAACTGGCAAATCCCACCCGTGCCAGATCATCAGCAGGCTACTGACACCGTCAGTGCCATCTAGTCTCCGATAAAAAGTGGTTAGAGGGACACTGTTGTGGGACACTGCTGTGCCCACAAATTATACAGTCACTACACTTTTACAGTATATTCTGTGTTGTACTTCGAGACAGCTCAATGATGTGATAACTCGCTGCATCAAATGCATGGATTATTATTATTATTATTATTAATTGAAGCTCCATTCTGTCAGTTCAGGCTGACAGTAAAGATCTCACAGCCCTATTTGAAAAAGCAAGCAGGGAATTGTCCTCGCTGATCTTCCTCCCTCACCCAAATTCCCTGTATCCATGTCATTGCTGTTAGTGGCAGATTTCTGGCACAGATTAGCCATTAGATTTGCTTACATAACGGTGTCTGGCCAACAAAGCTACCTATTGTTAGGTGAATCTGCGGCATGATTCTTTGATTACAGCACCGCAGCTCCACTTGGTGGAGGAAAACACTCTTTTAATTTTAATTTCAAGCAATCTTTCACCTAGGTGGTTTAAGGTTTCATTCCCGTTGTTAATTTAACTTCCTGAGAACTTTGGTCGCAGTCCGCACACAACCACTGTTGCTGGTACTGCTAATAGAGGGTAAGGATAAGAGTTAGGCTGTAGGTACAACAATAATTCAAATATAATCCCTCCTTCACCCAGCGATTGAAACGCTTTGAGATGTTTGTTTGAGCATTGTCTGGCCACCAAATGGTGGATCAGAACAGGAATTTGTGCTGCAAATGCAATGCAAATAAATATCTGATGTGATGATACTCACAGTGAACATCCACTGAGGTGTTGAGTTCAGCTCTGCTGTTGCCACTTGTGATGATACAGTAATAAACTCCTTCATCCGCAGGGCTCAGGTGGCTTATTCGAAGCTCCGAGCGTCCGACCTCATGGGTGATGGTCCAGTACGGAGGAATTTTGTGGTCTTGGGAGTCCTTCTTCCACTCTATAACAGGTTGGGGGCTTCCCTGTGCACTGCAGTTGAGAATCAGTTCATCTCCAGTTTGTGCTCTAACGGTTGTAGGTTCCAGCTGAAGCTCGTGAAGACCAGCTACAGAAGAATTTAGCAGTGGGGTTACGGAAAATGATAATAACATATAATAATCCTTGCATTTGATACAGTGCCTTATCACGGCTTCAAGATGTCTCGAAGCGCTTCACAGGATACACCGTAAAGTGAGTTTGACTGTAAATTTTGTGGGCAAAATTACATTGTATCTGCTTTGTAGAATACCCTAATATTTTGTCCACTAAATATACAGTCAATTCAATTTACAGCATATTCTGCGAAGCACTTTGAGACGCCTCGAAGATGTGATAAGGCGCTGTATCAAATGCAAGGATTATTATTATTATAGAATTCCCTTTAACGTGTGATTTGTATTATCAATACCACCTCTAACTAGGGATTTATCAAATAGTTTATAAGAATATTAAGGTATCAGCAATGATCCAGAAATAGCTATGAGCTAGAATGATTAATTGGAGAATTTATGTTGACCAGGACATCAAGAGAAACTTCCTTCTATTTTCCAAAGGGGGTCACAGGGCATTGTTAAGCTATTAAGGGACATAGAGCCATGGGGGGAAATAGGATGACAAGACCTGCAGTGATCTAACAAAGCGGTGAAACAGGCTCGATGGGCTGAATGGCCTCCTCCTGTTCCCATGCCCTTGATGAATGACTTACTTTTAAGGTGGATTTCCAGCGTTGTGTTCCTTGCAAAGATCTGATCTTCAAGCTGAATAACACAAGTAAAGGAGATTCTTTCATCCGAGCTGTTGACCAGGACGGACCATTTAGATGTCATGTTGCATCTATCGTCTTCATACACAATCTGAGGATCCAATAACTTGCGGAGGTCATCATCTTGATACCAAAGGACTTTTGCATTATCGCACGGGTATATATTGTACCCCGAACACGTGAGGTGGGCGGTCTGACCAGCGTAACATCTTTTGGCTCTAATTCCAGTTTGGGTCTCTCTGGAAAAGCTGCAAAAATGACAAATATTTCCAGACTCTGAATTCTACAGATTCCTAAAATCTCACTGAGCGCAATCCATCCTCCTCGCCCCCTCCTCAGCCGCCTTCAAGTCCCGGCTCAAGACCCTCCTCTTCGACCATGCCATCGGCCAACCCCCCCTCCCCTCCCTTCTCCCCTCCTGACCCCAGCTCGGGTCTGAAATGCTGTACAATGTCCAGCTCCTTGGGACGTCCTCCCGACGTGAAAGGCGCTGTACAAATGTAATCTTGTTGTCTCAAAGCGCTTCACAGAATATGCTTTAAAGCCAATTTTTAAAAAAATGTATTTTATTTTAAAAAATAAAATGACAAAAAAATCAAATGTGTTTAAAAAAAGATCATATTTTATAAACGGGAGAAACTCGCTGCAAATGGACTGAGGTGTAAGCATGAACGGTGAATTCAACGTCCCAACCTAGGGCTTGAACCCACAACTTTTTTCAGGCTTACACCTCACTTACACTTACACCTTCAATTTTTCAACCAGATACAACAACTTAAAGACTCCCTGCCTCAATTTAAGTGTAATAAGAATAATAACAATAATCCTTGTATTCGATATAGCTCCTTATCACGTCTCCAAAGCGCTTCACGGAATATTTTTTATCTTATTTTTGATTAAGAATTGACAGTTTCGTTTATTGTGAGAAAGAGTTTTAATACTTACAATAAACTTTGAGATTAACTCGCTTGCTTAAATATTTGGGACATTCGACGGTGCAAGTATAACGACCCCTATGTGCTTCGGTTACTCTGGCTATTGTTAGTATGGACATTGAGTCATGTCTCTGGGTTTTCCCTGGTGCGATGTCTGTGGAAAATTCCCATTCGGGTGTGGTCTCACAGGGAGAGATACAGGTTAATTGCAGTGTGGATCCGACTTCCAGAACTGGAGCTGATGGAGAAATGATCAGCTGTCTTCCGTCAGCCCTCACTGGATCATACATTAAAAAAAATCAGATCATTGATCAATTTCAATCATAATATTTGATACTTGTGTTCCACGTAGCGCCTGTTAAAGTTAAAATGTCATGAACAACATTATATTTTATTCTTGAAACAAATGACACTTTCTGCTTCCACCGTCACATCTCCCAAGGGAGTCTCTAAACTAAATAAGTTTATTACTCGCTCACTGAAGTAGTATTCCTGCAGATTTGTTCTGAATTTATTTCCTAACCTCCCCCCCCCCACCACCACCACCCCCATCCCGCCAATCGACTTCATGTCTCATTGAACTAGTCATAGGAAAAGCTGTTTCCATTAATATCCACCTAAATCACTGAGCAGATGAAGACCGAATGAATGACTCAATCAAAAAAAAGGATGATGACTGGGGAAATTTAATAATAATAATAATAATAATCCTTGCATTTGATATAGCGCTTTTCACGTCGGGAGGACGTCCCAAAGCGCTTCACAGAACACACTGTAAAGTGAATTGACTGTATATTTGTGGGCGAACGCGGCAGCCAATTGCGCACAGCAATGTCCCACAAACAGTCGTAGATTGAAAATGACCAATTTATTATTGTTTTTGGAGGGATTATTATTTAAAACTTTAAACAATATATTTGGATTTAATTAAATAATGTAGTCATGTGGACAGATGCTGAAACAATGTGCGGCAAGCATTAACTCACTTGGGCAACTTTCATTCACCATTTACAGAGACGGACGAGATGAAATAAGACAAAGCAAGCAGCTTGTGTCTTTGAACTCAAACAAGTTCAGATACATTTAAAAACAAACACTTGCCTTGATCTGGGATGAGTAGGAAGACGCTAAAAATCAGGAAAAAATTGCAGTACTTCATTTGCTCTCCCATCCGTCTCATTACTAACTCCCGATAAAATAAAAACTTCTCCAATCGAAAGTTTTTGAATTGATTATTTTCTTCACAGTCCAACAAACTGCGAGTAGGAGACTTCCAATAATCTTAAAGGCTTTTGGTATAAAGTTGAGATAAACGTTTACTATAAGACCTGTAGGCACCCTCTGGACCCACACAGTAAATGAAGAACTGAGACAAGAGATCTCGATGGCTTTTTCAGAGTACTGCTCGCCGGGGGAGAGCATTGGAGTTGGTTTGGGGGTGGAGGGTAGGAGGAGTTTGGAGCGAAAGCGAATTTTATTTCGTGTTAAATGGCTCTATCTTCTGGAATTTCCCTCCACTAAGTGTCTATTAAATCTTCACCATTGTTGCTGACCCAGCACCAACCATGTTTGCTTGGATTTCCAGGTCACTAACCTTGGATAGAATAATTAAAGATAGTTTGTTCTTATCTGCTTGAAAGCACAAGTTATCATTTCCCTAAATTGGAACTATTGAAAGTACAGTTGTATTTGTCAAAGATAATAATAACAATAATCCTTGCATTTGATATAGAGCTTTTCACGTCGGGAGGACGTCCCAAAGCGCTTCACAGAACACACTGTAAAGTGAATTGACTGTATATTTGTGGGCGAACGATTGCGCACAGCAATGTCCCACAAACAGTCGTAGATTGAAGATGACCAATTTATTATTGTTTTTGGTTTTGGAGGGATTAGGCTCTGTGTGGAGTAAGGAAACTTGCCCAAGGTATCGCCCTCTGCCTGGAATTGAACTCAGGTCTCTCGCTTGCAAAGCGAGTGCTCTAACCACTGAGCTACAGGACTCCACAAACCCGAGGCTGTAAAGAGAATTGAAAGGGTTTTCTTTGGGTTGGGGATAGGATGGGGAGAGGTCCTGAGAAAAATGTTATTTTTTCACACCAGACTGTCTGCGGGAGGGACGCTGCTGTTGTGCAATTGGCTACCGCGTTTCGCCCACAGAATACACAGTCACTCCACTTTGCTGTATGTTCTGTGAAGCGCTGTGAGAAGTCTCAACGGCGTGATAAGGCTTTAATTCAAACACAAGGATTATTATTATTACTTCTGCCTGCGACGCACCTCATTGCTTTGCATTGATAAAGCGGGTTCAGAAGAAAGTGGGTTCAAGCCCCTTTGGGTTTGAGCTCACAGTCCGGGCTGTTGTTCCAATGCAGCCAATGGAGATGAGCTGCTTACTTAAAAAGAGATAGAGACCTTAAACCAAGGTCCCGTCTGCGTGCCACAATATGAGCCTCAAATATAAGCAATCCCAGCACAAACTAAGAAAATATTGTTGATCCCATGTACTAAATGCACCTTGTTTACAAAGACCAAGAGAGCAGTTGAAATTATCTGCAAATTACATACGTGTGTGGAGTGTGCAGCTCAGATAAGGATTTCTAAGTCATAGTGCTAAGCCCATAAATAAGAATGTAAAAATAAGCCCCAAAAATAAGATGGGTGGTGGAGGGACCAATTAACCTGTGAGCTGTTTCTACCGTTGTTTGGAGTGAACCAGTTTCTCTATTTTGTGTTTGGAAAGTATTTTGGTGGGGGGGGGGGAAGGGTCAGTGGTTGTTTGGCACAAGCAGAAAGCCATCACCATTCTTAAGGTGACTGAAATGGAGTACGTATTCTCTCCCTCAAAGGACTCTCCCTGCTTACCTAGTTCTGAGAGTATTAGGCGTAGGTTGACAAAAGACAAGACTTGGGGACTCCGGATTGTGCGTTGAGGAACTGTTGGGAGTTTAACTAGTTAAAAAAAACATAGCTTGCTCTTGAGAGTGTCCTGCGGAAAGGATGGGAAGGCCTTTGGCTTGCAGGGTTAACAGGAGCCAAGTGAAAAGAATTTCTGCCCAAGTCTGTCCCTCCATATTCTGCCAACGAGCAGTGAGCTGGAGTATTGCAGAGCAATCTGGCTCAGGAAGCTGACTTGAGACCACCACAGAGGGTTGATTTGATCCCAGCATCCTGTTGACTAAATACTTCAACTTGGAACTATCTTAATTCCAAGGCGCATCTCGTCCCTTCCTCCACACCCTTTCCAGAATTGTTTATATAATTGGATTTGGAAACTTCACTGAATAAGATATCACAAAGGATATTTTTATTGGGCATTATTAAGTTACCTAAATATTTTCCCTATTATTTCCTTTATGTAAGCAAATGTTTTCCTTCTGGGATTCATTTCTCTCTGTTTAATGTCTAGTCAAGACAATTGATACGGAATTTCGTGTCAGGGCGTCAGGATATGATCTGACATAGTGCCATTTGGTTAGCTGCTTAAATAATGACAATCGTTACAGATATGGATCTGATAAGTGTCTGTAATTGTAATTATGGCCAACCAAACAAAGTCAAAGTCAATAAAGGCCAGGGAAAGTAGCACCATTAACCATGCTGGGTTAGGAAAAGGAAGCTTTTTTTGCACAACCAGCCAGAAATGATCAACAAAAATAGTTTTTGGGACTCTTTCAGAGCCTTGGGACGTCCTCCTGATGTGAAAGGCGCTATACAAATGTAATCTTGTTGTTTCCGTTAAACAATCACAAGTGCCAATTGGTTCACTTGACACTTCACGTTGATCAACAATATCAGTTTCAATCGTGTTGAATATAGAAATTCTCAGACATGCATAAATGTGTATGCATATCAGCAAAAACTTGCACTGAAGTACTGTTGTGTCTTTCACTTAAAATTATGGCAAAGCCCATTTAGAAAATATGGTATAATTGATCGGAAATAGCAAATGTTCTGTATTCAAATAGCAGCTTTGGATTTGGAGTGGAATACAAGCCAGGATCATCAAAACAATCATTTATCTATTGTTTGTGACAATTTTGGGGGTTATACAAGCATAACAGGGGCCTGGGAGGGGGAGGGAGAGAAGGGCAGAAAGGGTAAAAGAGGCAGAAGGGGCAAGGGGAGAGGAAGAGAGGAGGGAAACATGGAGTAAGCGGGAAGGAGAGGGTGTGGGAGAATGCACCCATCCCTCTGCAATTTTTCGTTGGAATATTGTTTGCATGGATTATGAGATTTAATATCTTTAGAATGACTCAATATCTCCTGCCTTCAGGCAAATAAGAAGCTATGTATTGGAAAGCAGTGACATGTAGGAATACGTAATCTCTGCAACAAGTGCTTCAGGAGAGAGCTCAAACGTGTGATTGATCCCTTCACATTTTTGTTTGTTGAGAAGTTATGGGGGCATTTGAGGCAGTTTCAAGATAATCAAACACACTGGGTAGGAACTGGATAGGTTTTTAAATACAAGGGAGATTGAGGTTCTGCAAGACGGGGCTGAGATTGTATTTGGGCAACTAAATTCCTGCAAAGTGCCTCAATATGGCTGATAAGTGCGAGAAAGAGACAGACAGACAGACAGATAGACACACACACACAGAAAGCGAGTGGGGGAAAAAAAAAGAGACAATATGCGCAGTTTTCGTATCCACAATGTAACCAGTACCAATTAATGTGGATATACAGCTCTGTACTGTATGAACATTGTCAGTCACCAAGGCACAGATGGTTTCATGTACATTTTTAATAAATAGTTTTCTTTGACAATTCATATTTACAATTTGTACATCTTTAGTAGGCACATTTCAAGGAGGCTACAGTTTTAACCGGACCTCCCAGAGAAAATTATATTAAAATCTTACACCTTGTCATTTTTTCATAGTGGTATCCACTAACTGGGCCAGCTAGCAAAGCTGACGGGAGACAGTTTAGGCCCAAGTACGTTAGATAATTAACAATTTGGAAGATACGTTCGTTACACAAGAAATAATTGATAAATAATAATCCTTGCATTTGCATTTACCAGGCTGTGCAGTTATTCGATTACATTAATTACTACATCTAGAGATTACTGACCAACACCCAATCATGTATAGCCATCTGGTAACTAGTTCCTTACAAGTGCACTGGGGTCATGGCACAGATCTGAATGTAATCAGAGCCACGCCCTAGAGTACTGACATCTTTCCTTCATGCAAATCTGGAATCAAATGGGAACACAGAATCACTATGAATTATTTGTCTCAGCCCACCATATTTATCCACACTTTTAGTCACTCTTTGCATCCCTCCTCAGACACAGTTTTCCATTTCACCAGGTTGGACAGGAGGTGCATTGAGTGGAACATAGTTTCCATCTTTGCAGCTGCTCTTCCATTTGAATCGATTTTTTTTGGAGGTGGTTGTGGGGGAGGGTATGCGGGAAAGAGAAGTTTAGCTGAACATGGCACGTGAGGGCGAGTTACGGAACCCAAATAAATCTCACACTGACAGATGAGAACCCAATTTTTTATTTTTGTAGGTACGTTTGGCATCTTTCACGAAGCAGATAGTGGCACAGGATTTCGGGGCGAATTGCAAAGCTAATAACAACAATCACTGCATCTTCTAGAAGTGCTTCACAGAATATACCGTACAGTGAATTGACTGTATATTTTGTGGGGGAAATGCTTTAAAGTCCAGTCCCTGGTGGGGTAACTAAAGTCAGAATAACTGCACACCCTCAGGATTTCACCCTACACAGTGCATATACTGCACAGACAAACAATGACAGCAGCCCAACCAATCTTTCATCATATGGTTATCACCTTAATATGTCAGCGATGAAAGTAGCTGTTAAGTTTCTCACCCAGAAGAGACGTTTTCTTCAAGAGGGGGAAAAACACAAGTTGCCAGCAATCAGCTGAATGAATAACTTTACCCTTATCTCAAAATTAGTATCGACAAAAATAAAATCCGGAATTAGAAAAATAACCCAAAACACTCCCCCCACCACCCCCCCCCCCTCCCCACATTGGTAAGTCACCTTGTAGATGTCTTTACA